AAATAGAAATCCATAAATACCCGGATCGTATGGACAAGAAAATATGTTACGGCTTGAATGTTTCGCAATATTTTAGGAACCAGAGAACAACTGCTGGCTGGCCAACCCGATAATCCCAACCAGGAAGTAAACAAAAATAGCTTTAGAACTGGGTAGACAAGGCAAGGATATTCACAAGACTGGAGCACTCCTCGTGGTTATGGTGACGTCTAAATAAGAGTAGTAAGAATAGGATAATATATCGGGACTGTTCCGAAGCCACAACAGTTACTATATAAAATTACAAATCTGCCTTACAGCCAGTATCCACACGATCTAGCATGCTTGACAGCTTGACACACGACAGATTTGACGTACGCCCGGCCTATTCATTATCCATCAGCACGATACGAAGAGTAGAGGGGAGGCTTGCTTGATACAAAATGCATCCAGCGCGTCCAGCAAGAAATTAATAATAAAAATTGACATACGTCAAGCCTAGTCAATATAGTTTTGCGTCGTGCATCGTGCATGACCTTGAGCGGACGTACGTCAAGATAGACCGTGTATATATAAGACGTATTACTGTTACAGCCTATTACAGTCCACTGCTGAACATAGGCCTCTCACATAGCGTCGCGTTGGGTAAACAAGGTTCCATCTGCATATATCGCAAAAACATTTTTTGAGCTAGTTAGAAAATACTAACGATGTTGGTTCTATTTGTATAAAAAAACTCTTTTAAGAAGTAGCTAATGACGAAGAAAATAAGAAGGCAACATAGTTCTAGCATCTTAAAAATTACATTTCGTGATATGATAACAAAGTTCTATCTGACATCTTATCACAATTAAAATTATTTTGTGTTGTTCCTTGTTGTGTTTGCAATAACAATAATTGTAATGATCTATTCTACTCCTGGGCATTCAGGAGTTTAGGTATTTTACAGTGTCCACTCCTGCATAAACATAGTATTAACAACTGCAAAATTATACTCCCCCGTTTCACTTAATTATGAAGTTGTTAAATAATTTCAACACTAAAAACCCTTTTTTTTATAGTCACTACTGTTTCAAAGAAACTTGAATATGCAAATCTACAAACACTATTCTCTGAAATTCACTGTGCTACATATCAGTATTTTATAAGACAAGTCATTATATTATGATTAAATGACAGGGTCTTATCAAACACCCTGAAAGGAGCACCAGAACCCAAACCTTCAAAATCAAGCGATGATGTAATGGATTCTTAAGATTGATCTTAATTACTTTGAAGCTCCATTTAAAACTGTATAACACACTTAATTGTCTAAAACATTTAATTATAACTTCTTTTTTACAAAACATTTATTTTTAAGTTTATTTAAAGTGTGAGTGTAATCTCATATATTTTATTTTATTCCCTCATATTTTTCATTACAACACTGCCTTAACTACGTATTTCACAACAAGGTTCTATCGTAAGATAAAACTTGGTTGAATTTATATTATTTTCTCGCATGCATAATAAAAATATATAACAGATAAGACCTGTGCAAATTCAAAGGTTCGTTTTATTATAAAAACCTTAGAATAATAGAATAAAGCCTTATGTTATGACTAATTTACATCCTCAATACAGTCCCGCCCCGTCTCAGACGTGGAACATGATCAACGCATTGAGAGATTTTATGCAATGCCAAGGAAATAACTTGTGTTTACTGATAGTATTTGGAAAGGTGTATTTGAGAAGGCTGAAAAAGGTCTTTCTAAGGTCTCTAGATGGATGAAACCATAGACTTAGAATATACTGGCGTATAGACCTACATAGTGTGCAAGGGAGAAGATAAATGCAAGATAGAAAAGGATACCAAATCTCATGACTTTGTTACCGATTTTGAATGATAAATCGGCACAATTCGGCACGCAAGAAATAGCTATTAGATGTTTACGCTAGGGATTGACTCAACTTTAGTTGATATTATAAATTAATGTCGATATTTATCTTGAATTTTTATAATAAATCGATAGACTTGCGCACATAACACGAAACTAAATCCTCGGTTTGCGTTCTAAAATGTAATTTTATTTTGCCTCTTGTCAAACAGATTCACTCTGGATTCTATAATGAGCAAATATGGTTAACGTTAATTGGACGGGTTGGCTGGAATCTAAAGAACTCCACAGTTTGCAGCAAACATTTTCTTGAGAAGTATACAATAAAAATTAGAATAAAAACAATTTTATTAAAAGGAACCATTCCTACATTATTTGTACCAGTAAGTATAATATTGTTATAGTACGATTTCAAAAATTTTACTTCATAAAATTTTGGTAAAAATAGAGTTAGATTTTTATACATTATAAAACTGCAGTATATTAAAAGTAAAAATTTTTGAGATTATCCTATTAAAGCTATTATGAACCAAAAAAATGTATAACCTTACTTATCGAACCGCATCTCACGGTCACATTAGCACAATATTTATAGCATCACGTTATTTTCCCTAAGGGGTTGAGCGGAGCCTCGGATTATCAATTCACAATGATAAAACTTTTAATATAGTTAGATATGGATATTTAGTAATGCTCCTGAAGCGCCGCTAGATGACCGCGCATGAGACGCGTAGTTCAGTTTGCCAGGATAGTATAAATTCCATAGTATTTGATACTAACAACGCCCGATGCCCGATTTATGCTTGGTACCCGACGACAGTGTGTCGAGGGCTAAATAGCGTGGTTCATTGCCTACGGCGTTATGCATAGAGTAGAGGAACTTATGGTTTATTAACAGATGCGCGGATCAATTGTTCTGCGAGATTAAGTTGCGCTTGTCACATTCAGTCCATGGATGGGTCACCGTTTTCTTAACATACCGAGATTGAGAGAATAGACAGTGCACCTGTATCCTCAGATACCTGGTACACTTTCATATCTCCTGTGTATTTGGCTAGTCTGTGTAAGATCATTATGTTTTAAATTTAAATTAATGCAACTAAAATGATAATAAGTTTGTTATGTTTCAGGGACAGATGAAAGAAAGAGAGAGTAGCCACATAATCATATTGGCCTTTAAACAGAGCTAAATAAGTTTAACTGATTCCTACAAGTTTCCTTACTTAAATTATTAAGTTTAAATGCATACTTAAGTCGAATTTTAAAATAATTTTTTCTAATGTATTTAATTATTAAATTTTTGTCAATATTATAATAATTATTATATGAAAAATAAAGCAGCCATTATGTACTCCGTGTCCCCGTTTTTATTTCAACAGCAAAACATTTTATAAAGTATATAAAGTATATATAGGTTTATACTTCATTAAATATCTACCTATTTATAGTTGATTAACGTTATGTTAAAAAAATCCTGGGAAACTGTTCAGGGCAGTAAAGTTTTCTCTAAAGGTCATACATAATTCGAAAATACAACTTTCCGATCTGATTCTTGGAGGAAATTGTTTAAGTTTATCAGTAGACTCACCTCTTCAAAGATTATTAGGAATTTGTACATTTTTAATTAAAATACCACAAATGGCAGATAACAACATGTGATTTGAATATTTTTTGATTATTTTAGAACTATCAAGTTAAAAATTCAGTTAATTTTTGAGGTTTTTCAGTTTCGTACTCTAAACCATTTTTTTTTTCATTTTTACCGCTTCCATAGCAATCATTTTCGACAGTCCTTGTAAGTAAAATGCACATCACTAGCTAACGCACACAACGACAAATCAAAATTGGTTACACATTTTCAGGCTGTCAGGTCGTTTATACGCCAGTATATTCTAAGGCCGGCCACATACATACGGAATTCCGAAATTCGGGATTCCATGAATACATCACACACACACACATACGTTTTTTTCCCGTTCGGAATAACAAGGGTCAGTTGAGAGACGTTAGCCATTGAGTCTAGACATTCTGCCAGAGAATAATGACGACAATTTTCTAATTGCAAATTCCATTGTTGCTGTATCATTCTTACTAGGTGCATCCCCTTATCACCCTAAGCTTGCAATATAGTCAATACTATGTAAAAAGACCTATATATCCAGAGATATTTTTTAAATATTTATGTATGAAAATTCTATCGACGAATTATTAAATAAAATAAGATGAAAGGTTACGAAAAGCTATACACCTACAAGATTAAATGTACATAAATACACATACTCGCTTCGGTCGTGTGACGAACACTGAGCGCATTCCGTACGGAATTTACGTATGTGTGTTGCGACTCGTACAAAATCTATGTAAGACGTGCGTTCGGAGCGGCTTTTTTTCGTTCGGGATCCCGAACGCACAGGCGGTCATACGGAATCTCGAATCGGAGAAATTCCGTACGGAAAAATAACGTACGTATGTGGCGGGTCATAGATTTTATATGGACTTGCTGCGTTCGGAATCCCGAATCGGAATATCGAAACGGAATCTCGAAACGGAATTCCGTATGTATATGGCCGGCCTAAGTCTATGGATAAGCACCTACAATCACACACACACACACACACACACACACACACACACACACACGCGCGCGCGCGCGCACGCATGCACGCACGCACGCACGCACGCACGCACGCACGCGCATACACATCTACATTAGATCATAGGTAATAGAGGCTCCAATTGCTTTATTATTTAGTATGCCTTGAGAAAGAAATAAATAGATTTTTAATTTAATAGTAGTGTAGATTGTGATGTAGATCTTGGTATGTTAATTCTTTACTTCTTATCCGTTTAGACGACTTGAGATCGGATGTCATCAAAATCTCCCGAAAATTTCGCGATATCACAATTCAGGTAATAAAATTACACAACAGATGAGGCTGTTTAGTGTAGGACCTTTGCTTGCCTTAATTGGCGAATTGTAACAACAACAATAATGTTGTTTTTGTCAATGTCAAACTGACAAAATATAACTTAATTTTGAGTTTTCAATTATAATATAATTTAGAATTTAGACGTTTAGTAAGAAATAAAGCAAAGACAAGCATTATTTAAAAAAATACTTTCGATTTTATTTTACTTGAAACAATGGCAGATCGCCTCACACAATTGCAAGATACAATTAACCAGGTACAAGCTACGTATCAACAAATTTATTTTTACCCCTAATGCCCACAAATGCGATTTTAACTCTTGTGGTTTTTGTTTGTAGCAAGCTGAACATTTCTGCAATAGTATAGGTATACTACAACAATTTTCAACGCCTAGTAAGTTTCCCGGTTTTGACCGAAGTGGATCTCAAACTCCGCAACAACAGCAGAACCAAGAGGACTATGCAGTGCTTTTTGCTACGTTGATTTCTCGCTGTGCAAAAGACATTGACACTCTTATAGAGTCACTCCCAAGTGAAGAGAGCTCAACCGAACTACAGGTACAAAGTTTGAGACGTTTGGAAGCAGAAAATAAAGAAGCAGCAGAACAGTTAGAAGAGGTAAATTACTACTGTTTCACAGGAATTTGATAGTGTTATAAATTTTAACATGTTTCATCTTTCAGCCTAATAAAATTATGGAACTTGCTTTCTTGAACTATTAATAAGGCTTAAATTATATATATATATATATATATATATATATATACATACATACATAAATATATATAGTGTACAACTTTTTCAAATAAAATATAGCCTAGATCACTCTTGGCATTGCTCACAATCTGTTTGTGAAGCATCACCACAATTGGTTTGGCCATTCTGAATATTAGACCAGATAAACAGACAGATACTTAAAAAATTGTTATTAATGTTTTAGTAGCATGCAAACAACCCTCTGAGCTTAGACTATTATGTAATGTAATTATGTATTATGTGTGCAATAAAGAGTATAAAGCAAAGTGTAAAGTAGCCCCCCATGTAGTGGAGTGACAACCTGGTAAGAGATGCAGGGATTCAATGGATGCAGGTTTTTTTATAGGATAAGGGTGACAAACGAGCTCACAGTTCACCTGATGGTAAGTATCCTCAATTACAAATCAATATGTAGATGCATTGTCACCCGTGAGGATTAAGATGGAATGCCTTTAATCTGTCATTTTAAGCTGGTATTCAGTCCAGTTCATGGATAAGGACCGTGCTATGTGGCATTCTTTAGGGTAGGTCTATGTTAAGACATGGACTCGTGAAAAGCTGTAATGATGATGATGATGATAATAACTAAATAAGTTTTGTGTATAAATAAATAAACGTGAAATTGTCAATAATGTTTTTAAATTAAAATTAGCAATCTTTGACAAACTTTTACTTATCAATATTAACTTCAAATTCACAGGTTGTCCGGCAAGGAGAAATATTACTGGAGAAAATTCAGGGAGCACTTAGTGATATTGCACAATGCCAGTTAGACATGCAGAACCCGGCATTAATACTAAACAAAGATGTGAAACCTCAGTTATAGGATATAAGGTTGCACGGTGGTTACCACCGTCGGTGATAATTTTTCAAGACTGGTGTAAAGTTTGTTAAAATTTTTAATTAGATTCCATCTTTATTTTATAATGTAGGTAGATGCCTTAGTTCTACATATTAGCAGTGTAAGACAATTTTTTGCTTTGCTTGTATCAGAAGAACTGGTTATGTTTTAGTAAACATATACTTATAGCACTATAGTTTAAGCTGTGTTATTGATTGTTATGGGTTGTTCTTTGCACTGTAATCAGAAATTGTCCCAGTAGTCAAATTAGTGTTATCACCATTACTATCACTACAGCCCCTCACAAAGCCACTGCTGGACATAGGCCTCCTCCAAAGAATGTCAAAAAAGCACGGTCCCGAGCCACCAACATCTATTTGCTTCCTGCATGTCTTACCGGTCCATCTAGTGGGGAGACGCCCTACACTTCGCCTGCCGGTACGAGGCTGCCACTCGAGAACCTTTCTTCCCCATCGGTTGTCAGTTCTTCGAGCTATATGGCCGGCCCGTTGCCACTTCAGCTTACTAATCCTTTGGGCTATGTCAGTTACTGTAGTTTTACTGAGGATATCTCCGTTTTTATTAAATTAAATCAGTCTTGAGGATTATAATTGCTACTATAACCTGGCCTCAGATGAAGCTGTAAGAGCCGTATACGCTAACAGCACTAACATCACAGAAAATAAATGATAACCTGGGCTACTTGTATTAGAAAGATGTTGACATGATGAAACTGCATTAAACTTTTTGTTTTTAGTATTGGTAGTAGAAATTATATATTAATTCATTAAACATTAATAATTTAATTCATTAATAATTGTAACTGAAATTAAATATTACTAAATTAAAATTATTAATATTAAAATTGTGGCATTCCTTGGGGGGGGGGGGGGGGGCTATGGTCAGTAGTGGACTTGTGAAAGGCTGTAATGATGATGATGATGATGATGGTGAATATTAAATATAAATTTCTACTACCTACCCTTAATTATTTAATATTGTAGAAAGCCTAGTAAATATGGCTGTCTAATAAAATAGATTGAGTCTATGACATATATATATATATATATATATATATATACAAGAACTCTTCAATCACATCTTTCTTTCACAAATACTAAATGTGATGTTAACACTTAACAGCAGTGCTCGTGATTTTTGTAGTAATTCCTGAAACTGTAAAAATGCACATGGCAGTTGCATCTATTTCTAGTACATTTATTTTAAACTAATGAATTTTTCGTTAGAGATTACTGTATAGTTGTAAGTTCTTTATCGTACCTAACACCCAAGTAATCTCTATTATGTATAAGCATAAATCCTAATTTATTTGTCACTCAAAAATACCAATTAATATGTCACTCAACTGCTATGTTTGAAAGTATTTTTTTTAAATAATAGCTACTGAAAATTTGGCTTTAGTGCCATTTGTATCTTCATAGTGAGATGGAGGCTTGTATGATACTTTTGCCATGATTTAGTATTTTCTATATTTTTTAAGTGGTATGATTTGCAGTTACAAATTTCCCAAACAAACAACAGTAATAATTATGGAAAAACTCTGTAATATTTGTTTATCATTATAATAAATTACTTAAAATTTAGTTTGTTCTTTATTTTAATTTGGAATTCCTTTAATGAGTATACATAAAATTTGCTAAACATGGGTCTTTCCCTCTAAGAGATTTGCCAAATAAGGACTAACAATCTTCCGGTCACCAGATGTCACTAGCTGACACTGAGGTGAAGTTTTCTGTTACACAATGTCATTTAATTGAGAAGTAAGTTTTAAATTAAAGTTTATCAAGTCTAGAGTATTTTATGAATACACAAAACAATGCCTCACTGGTTTGCTCTTTAATTTTTTTGCACATTTGTAACTCCTTTCTTCAATGTTTCTATTTTTTTGAATGTCTGAGATTTTTTTGAAGGGGATGAAAATCACATTCAAAAATTCTTTTACATAGATATATACCCCTACAACCTTCCCAGAAATGAGAGGAGGCCTGTGCCCAGCAGTGGGATGTATATAGGCTGTAACTCTACTTTAGATACATACCAAGCTAATAAAAAACTGATTTTACATGCACCTCGTATGTAATAAAACAGGTCGTTATGGAGAACGGAATGTTTCTTGAATATAGGAACGAGGATAAGTATTAAATATTCTTTATCATTCTAGAGGCACAGTGCACACATGGCATTACTCATTTTGGAGAAAATTAACTTTTAATAAAAAGTAAAAGATTCAAATTCTGGTGTCGGTACCCAAGAATTAGTGTATAAAGAATTATAGCCCTTACTTCAGACTGATTTTTTTAAAATGCTTTATGGTACTTTAAAATCGGCTTTTACTTAAAGGAATCTTACTAAGGAATATCACAATATCTATATCTATATATATCTATTTAAATTGGGGATAAAGTTTTTAATGTAACTCGCCACAAAAATTATATAGGACCATCCTTGAAGTTTAATTATTTAATAAAAAAAAGAATCATCAAAATTGGTTCACAATTGACTAAGATATCGCGTAAAATAGACACAATAATTTAAAATTTTGTACACCCGACTTCAATATAAATTATTAAGAATAATTTTTGATGGCTCCGTGGCGCAGTGGCTTAGCAATAATTTGTTGCGCTGGGGGCCGCGGGTTCGGATCCCGCACGGAACAAGTATTTGTATGGCCTACAAATAATTGTTCCGGGTCTGGATGTTTGTCCTTGTGCAATCTATGTTTGTAAACTGCCTCCACGATACAGGAGAAAATCCTAGTGTGGGGATAACGTTTAAAAAAAAAGAACTCAAAAACTATTAGTCCGACCTTGACCAAATTTACATGGGACCACATGTGAAGCACCAGATTTCAAATAAAAAAAGAATCATCGTAATCGGTTCAACCAGTAAAAAGTTATGAGGTCACACATAAAAAAAAAACAGTCGAATTGAGTACCGGCTCCTTTTTGAAGTCGGTAGAAAAACAGTTCGTCTGTACTCTATTTATGATATCGCATTAGGAGAATGCGATATCATAAATAGAGTTTGAACTTTGAACGCCATTGGTTAAACTTCAGCAACCATTCTTTGCACCAATCGACGCGAGTCCGTTTCGAGGCTGCTGTGAGTGAGAAATCCAGCGGCAAAACAAGCCCCTGATTATTAAATGTTCGTGAATAATATTTTGAATTTAGTGACTTATCAACTGCTAACTGTTCACGGATTTCGTCATCGGTTATGCGCCGAATTTCTTCAATAAGATAGTAGCCACATCGTTCTTCCTTTATTACGATTGATTATACGACAAATTATAATGACTATTACTGCCCAAGACCATATACTCAGTGACCCTATTCGAAAAATGCCTTTTATGAAAACTATAGATAATGATTTTTTATATTTATTTTATCGCGTTTAAATTTATCGTTTTTACCTACCGACCTTATTTAAACACCGCAGTCCCACCGTGGCCTTGGGTGGTGCAAAGCATCCGTGACCTTGGGAATAAAAAAGAATTAAAGGCGATAAAACCATAAATGTCATAGTTAACTAGTCGGATTCGGGAAGTAAAGACTGTGTGACCTCCGTAGGAGGCGGAGCCGGAGATATAACCGAAATAAGAATTTTATTTTTTGATTTTTGGCCATTTTGACCCCCTAGGAGTGCAATGAAAACTTTTTGCCGCTATTCAGCTATGACGCCCATGACATCCTCTACATGATAGGCTATTCAAACTGACTAGGCCTAAAGTTCGAGTCACCCCCCAACTCATTTCTAAAGTCTTTACTTCCAATTAGGTACTTCCAAATATTATATAGCCTATTAATATATTATAATATAACCTGACAGTTTTCAATGCTAGACAAAAAGCATTTCGAAGGAGAGTAATAGAGGACGGTACTCTTGCAGAGCAAGGACTTTAAAAATCGTAAAAATCATCGCTCTAAAATACTTAAATTCAAATTCACAATTCAAAATAATTTATTTGTAAAACATAGGTAAAAAGTTACGAATTTGGTGGAAAATGTATGATAAGTAACACGTAACACTATGTTTCACCTTAGAAGGCAAAAGGCATACAAATATTTGGTTAACATCAAAGACATTTAAGTAGTTAGTATATGTATATTTTAAATCTCTTTGGTTAACATCCTCACCTTGTTTAATAACATTATAATTTCAATTATAATTAGTGTTTTGGAAAAATTGCATAAATTATTTTTTTATTATCCATTTCATAATTCTTAATAACATAAAGATAAAAATATGATAAATAAATCGAACATTAACGTAGGTACTAAAAACAATTCATTTTATCATCAAAGTATTCGTCGATAGAGTTGTATGTTTTTTTAATTAAAAAACTCGAAAGCAATTTCTTATCTATCTCTGATGTTTTTTGGGAGTTTATTATAAATTTTAGTTTTGTGAGGTTTTATACGCAGTGTGTTCCTATGACGTTTACTATTAGTGGTTTCAAATATGCTAAAATGTTTCCTAACAAACATAGCTATTTCGAATATATAGGTATAAACATGGCAGGGTTAGTATGTTACGATCAATGAAATGCGGTTTGCAACTATCGGTAACCTGCAACTGGCATACCGTAAACATTTTCTTTTGCGCTTTAAAAGGCTAATTCGCGTTCTGGGGAATTTCCCCAAAATATTATACCATATCTTCTACTTATGCATGTAGACGATTATGACTGTTTCACGATTTGTAGTTTTTAAAAAGTTATGTTGTGCATAGTGGTATTGTTGATTTATCTTTTTTATCATGTGTTCAATATGTTTACTCCATATCATTTTCCGTCCAGCCAGTCCCAGAAATTTTGTATGTTCTTTTTCGTTTATAATTTTAGTTTTATAGTTTTTGTTGTTTTGATCTTTCTTTGAATGACATAATATGCGTTTTATCTAAATTAATTTTAAGCTTATTGTCATTTAGCCAGCTTATTATCCTGCATACATTTTCAAATGAGG